GAGCCACAGAATTGGGACTAATTCAGAGTACACTTGTGCTGAACTGAAATAAGTATTTTTAGGTACAAGAAATTTTACCAAAATCTATCTTTTGGTAAAAACAACAACAACAACAACATATAAAACAAGCATTAAATTGACAAAATCTGTATTGCTTGAGTTGCTGGTATTGATGGTTTAAAAAGGAGATGAGTGAGGTTCAGAACCAAATTAAAATGATTTATTGCATACTAGTTTGACTGTTTTCACTTACAAAAAAAACAGGTTATAAATTAATGACAAATACATTGTTTTGGACAGTTTCCCCTTGTTCAGATGCATGAAAATACAAGTAGTCCTCAATTTACAATCATTTGCTTAGCGACCATTCGAAATGACAACGGCACTCAAAAGAGTCACTTAATGGCCGTTTTTTCACACTTATGACTGTCGCAACATCCCCGCGGTCACATGATCAAAATTCAAATGCTTGGCAACTGACTCGCATTTATGACGGTTGCAGTGTCCCAGGTCACATGATCACTTCTTGTCAAGCAAAGTCAGCGGGGAGGCCAGATTCTCCTCACAAGCACGTTAGTTACTAATTTAATTTAAAAACTGCCGTGATTCGCTTAGCAACTGTGTCCAGGAAGGTCGTAAAGCGGGGCAAAGCTTATTCAACAACCGCCTCTCTTAGCTGTGGAAATTTCGGGCTGAATTGTGGTCATAAGGCGAGGTCTGCGAAGTGAAATGATCTCTTTCAAAAAAATAATAATAATAATTGCGTTGCAGGTGATTAAAGAAACCTGGTTAAAGCTTATAAGCCACGATATGGCTTTGGCGTTTTACTATGAGGTTTCAGCCCTGAGTTTTCTGAATTAATCCCTCCAGTTGCAGCTCAGTCCACAAGTTGGGGTTGTGCAAATTGTGTATCAGTGCGGGGCTGGGGAGGTAAAATAATGTCAAGCCCAAATTCTGGAAATATTCCCGGAGATTTGCGGGGAAAACAAACCCCAGAGGAGAATCTCCAGAAATAACCCCTGAAGTGCGGTATGGATGCAAAAACGACCCGTTCTCTGCGCTAATACGCTCAAGCGTAGCCAAAGGGGAGTGGTGGAACGATTGCGCGCAGTACTCTCCCGGTTCCCACTCGGCTCCCCCTAACATGGCTATCGGCTTCTTCCTGTCCTACCTCTATTGCAGTCCTCCACTTCTGCTTTGTACTATCCTCCCGGCGTGGCCGCTCCCTCGTGATGTTGGCGGCGAAGGCTGATCAGAACAGAAACCAGATCGAGGCGAGAGCCTCTTCGCTTCGCTCCGCCTGTTTCCACTCAACAGCCCCTAACATGGCTGCCTGGCTCTTCCGATCTCGTCTCTATTGCAGCTTCCTAGCACGGCCGAGCCCGCATCCGGTCCGTTTCCTTTAAGTCTCCCGTTTCCGCTCCTGACGGCGCCCGCCGGCCACGCGACAATAGCGACAGCTTCAGAAACAGCGCTGCAAGCGTGTAGAAGACACAACGTGGTTATTGCTCGTGGGGAATCAGCACCTCTCCCCCTTGCCCGCCAGTGCCCCTCATTCGCTCCCAGCCCCTATCATGGCTGCCTGCTTCTTCCTGGCAACTCGACTGCTCCCTGTTGCAGTCCGTTGTTGTGGTTGTTATTGCGAGCGCTTGAGAGCCAGTGAGAGCCCTCTAGTGGCTCAGGCTGGCATTGCGAATGGAATGGAATGGAATAGAAGTCTTCAAACTTGGCCCTTTTACGACTTGTGGACTTCAACTCCCAGAATTCCTCAGCCAGCTGAAGTCCACAAATCATAAAAGGGCCAAGTTTGAAAACCCCTGGAATAGAATAGAATGCAATAGAAAATATGGAATGAAATGGAATAGAATAGAATGCAGGAGTAGAGTAGAGTAGAGTAGAGAATAGAATAGAATAGAATATTGGACTGGACTGGACTGGACTGGACCTAGACTAGAATAGACTAGAATATTGGACTGGACTGTACCTAGACTAGACTAGACTAGACTATTGGAATGGAATGGAATGGACTAGACCAGTGGTTCTCAAGTTTTTTAATGCCGCGACCCCCAATCGGTCGTAAGTCGAGGTCTAAACCGGTCGTAAGTCGAGGACTAAACTGGTCGTAAGTCAAGGACTACCCAACCGGTCGTAAGTTGAGGACTTTCCCTGCCGGGAGCGCTGCGCATGCGTGGTTCCACCCCCTGCGCCGGCCAAGGCGTAGCTAGCAAGCGGCAGGGACGGAGCAGGCCGACCACCAGCTGGCCCAGCCCAAGGGAGGTAAGGCACCCACCGGAAAAGGGGAAAAAAAATGGTGGACAGCCTTGCTTGGCGACCCCCGTGAAATGGTCGATCGACCCCAAATGGGGTCGCGACCCATAGGTTGAGAACCGCTGGACTAGACCTAGACTAGACTAGACTAGACTAGACTAGACTAGAATAGACTAGAATAGAATAGAATAGAATAGAATAGAATAAATTAGAATAGTTGGGAGCCAATGTGAAAGCAACAACAGGCAATGATGATGTTACCTAAAAAAACTATTCAGAAAAATCTATTGTTTTTCTTTGACTAAAGATTGTCTGGCCATAACTTATATCACTGCTACTTACCTTCATTTTAACAAATATTGAAAGCTCTCCAGTGTTCTTCAAGTTTATATGCCAACAACTTTCAATTGTCATGCCAGCAAGCATTGTCAAAACGTTTTAATATTGTGTTTTTCCAATAACTAAGAAACTCTGACAAAGTAAAATAATTTAATTTATTTAATGCAGAATTATAACCTTAATATAGCATGCAAAATTTATTGCTTCCAAACATGCCACTTTGTCAAGAGCATATTAAATCAAGTTTGTGGATGCAATTAAACCTTTATAGACAAATATAATTATTAATTGTGAAGTCACATTGGTTCATTTAATTTTATAAAGCTAATCAACGCGTGCACTCCAATTCTTCCACACATTTCATCAAATTAGGGATAACTCTTACATCTCCTGTTGAATCAATTTGATCCCTTGATTAGGACGAGATATATTTCTTACTAATTTTAATGACAATGTTAAACGGTAACATAGAATGATACTTTAAAGCAACTTTCAAAAGTCTCAGAACATGTACATGTAATAACCTGAATAACATCAGATGATCAGGAGGAAAATATGTTTAATTTAAAAAAAAACCAATAAGTTTGCAACTAATGAATGTTCTGCCTTTCAGCTTGTCAAAATTGGCAAAATTCTGTTCTCCTTAAGCTCGACTTACAACAGGATCTATGATTATTTAGATGAAATTTGCAAGCTGGCTTAATTGTTTTCTAAATCCTGGCTTGATCAGGCAAGGATGTTTTTGTTTGGGTTAACAATGTTTCAAACGCCAGAAAGCTTTAGTGCGAAAGAACAGGCTCATGGATCAACCTCTACAGACATGGAATAAAAGAAGATAACGATAATACAGTGCCAATTTAAAGGATCAAAGTCCAAAATTGCCATTACTAAGCAAGACAGTTAGAGTTCTGCCCCGCTCTTCTTTGCCACCGTTGTTAAATGAATCACTGCAGTTGTTAAGTTAGTGACAGGGTTGTTAAGCGAATCTGGCATTCCCCCATTGACTTTGCTTGTCAGAAGTCCGCAAAAGGGGATCACATGATCTTGGGACACTGCGACCGTCATAAATATGAGTCAGTTGCCACGCGTCTGAATTTTGATCACGTGACCACGGTCGTTAAGTGTGAAAAACAGTCCTAAGTCGCTTCTTTCAGTGACGTCGTACCTCTCGGTCACTAAACGAACTGTCATTAAGTTAAGGACGTATGATTTTTCATTGGGATTTTCATCTGTGGAAATTCTCAAGTCATCCAGCTTGTCTCAAACGAGTTTTTTTTCCTCTCTTTTCAAAAAGGCAAGTGGACTTTCTGTTTTGCCTTGAAGTCTCAAAGGAACGTCTTCGAGGAAATACAAAAAAAAAAAAATCCAGTTGCCTTTTTGGGAGAAAAAACAAAAAAACCCACCTTTAAGAAATTGGGCTTTTCACACTGCTTCCAGACCCCCGTTTTCACACCCAGCAAACCCACCAACATACAAACTAAGATTCATTACAACAGTACTTCCTTTCCCAACACGACACATTTTCTGAAGCATCTAGTTTCTAGCCCAGTGGTGGCGAACCTGTGGCACGCGTGCCGGAGGCGGCACTCGGAGCCCTCTCTGTGGGCACACGTGCCGTTGCCCCAGCCTCGCCTCCCCCCGCGACCCCCTCCTCACCAGCAGCCCCCCTGGAGGAGAGTCGCCCCCAAGCGTGGGCCACGCGGAGCAGCGCAGCCAAGGACATGGCAGCCAGGCAGCGTAGACAAGACTCTGCCCTCACGCCCCATCGCACACAGTTGATGCTGCGGGGTGTGGGCAGAGGGCGTGGCCGCCACGGCGCTGCTGGGCTGCCTGGGCGATCTGCGGCGGGCCCTGGAGGCGGTGAGTGGCCCTGGGGGCAGGCAGGGTAGGGGACGGGGTGGGGGCGGAGCAGAGGGTGGAGTGGGGGCGGGGCCAGTTTTTGGGCACTCGGTCTCTAAAAGGTTCGCCATCATTGTTCTAGCCCAGGGGTAGGCAACCTTGGCTCTTTTATGACTCGTGGACTTCAACTCCCAGAATTCCTGAGCCAGCCATGCTGAGGGGAAAGGGAGAGGTTTCCAAACTGAGCCATGCTGACTCAGGAATTCTGGGAGTTGAAGTCCACGAGTCATAAAAGAGCCAAGGTGGACTACCCCTGGGCTAGCCAATTCTGTTGGATTTCAACTCCCAGAATCCCCCCAATAGCACCAGATTATGAGAGGTGAAGCCCAACACATTCAAAGGCCATTAAAACCCGGGCAATCCACCTTGTAAATGTAAATTCGTCCTGTAGGTAAATCATAGCATCTTAGAATACAAAGTGCAGGTGTGTATATATATATATATATATATATACTTTAAAAAAAATTGTGGGCAGGGGGAGAATCCTAAAGGGTTTATTCTCCTTGATCCACTGTTTTAAACACAGAATCTTCCCCTAGGGTTTTGCAGAGTTCATTCAGCCTTTGCTGCATTTTTGGCATCCCCGCCAGTTGCGATTCAAGTCTCTGCTTCTCCTCACTCAGAGTTAAGCGGATAGCGGTGTCCAACTCTTCGAAACGCCAGCCTCCTTCTCCGTCAAACTGGAGCAAGTGCGTGTGGTACTTCCTGCGGAATAAAAAGAGGGAAGGGGGGAAAAAACTCACTATAAAATCGAGCGACGGGACCCCTGCGTTAATACTGTATATACTCACAACTGGGTTGTACAGTTCTTTATAGCCAGTTTGGTACTCTCTCCCTCCAACTTTCCCTGGGGGGGGGATAAGATACAGAATACAGAGTAACAGAAGGGACCTTGGAGGTCTTCTAGTCCAACCCCCTGCTCAAGCAGGAGACCCTCTACCATTTCAGACAGTTTCTTCTTAAAAATCTCCACTGAAATTCAATCAATCAATCAGAATAGATCTGGAAGGGACCTTGGAGGTCTTCTAGACAAATCACACACACACACACACACACACACACACACACACACTCAAGAAGGAGACCCTATACCATGGTTCAGGAATTCTGGGAGTTGAAGTCCTCAAGTCATAAAAGAGCCAAGGTTCCTCACCCCTGCCCTATACCATTTCAGACAAGTGGCTGTCCAATTTCTTCTTAAAAATCTCCACTGAAATTCAATCGATCGGTCAATCAATCAGCATAGAGCTGGAAGGGACCTTGGAGGTCTTCTAGTCCAACCCCCTAGCCTAGCCCATTCCAGAGAAATGGGTTGTCCAGTCTCTTCTTAAATGGAGAGAAGAAGAAGAAGCACCCTCAACTTCTGGAGGCACGTCGTTCCCGCTGATTAAAGCTGGGAAGTCTTGACCGGGAAACCCTTTCCAAATGACAAGGTGTAAGAACTCTGTAGTTACTATTTATTTAAGCAGTAGAGCAGGGGTGTCAAACTCAATTTCATTGAGGGCCGCATCAGCATTGCGGTTGCCCTCGGGAGGCCGGGTGAGTGTGGCCAGGGTGTGTGTGGCCTACTGGGTGGGCGTGGATGGAGTGTGTGTGGCCTACTGGGTGGGCGTGGTTTCGGCAGACAGCGGGGCGCTCTCCTCACAGCGCCGAGAGGTTGAGCTGGGCGGTGCGAAGCTCGCCAGCTTTGCACCTTGCTGCCTGCTGAAACTGTGCAGGCTGGGGGCGAAGCAGCATTGCACTTCTCATCAGATTCGCGCCGCCCGCCTCAGCTCTTGGCGCTGTGAGGAGAGCGCCCCGCTGCCTGCCGAAACCGGGCAGGCTAGGTGCTGGGCGGCCTCGCGTTTCTTTTTGGATTTGCGCCGCCCAGCCCAGCCTCTCGGCACTGTGAGGAGAGCGCCCCGCTGCCTGCCGAAACCCCTCCCCTGGAGCCCATCAAGCCGGATATGTGAAGTAGGCGAGGGCCATTTGCTGGCCACTTCCAGGCGATGGTGCATTTCTTCATTCCTCACAAAGGGGGACACCTCCCCAGCATGCACCCAGGGGATGGGGCCGATGCGGCAGGGACTGGTTCCTCGCTGTTTCCAGACGGCCTTGTGGAGCTAAGACTGAATGCGTTTCAGCATAGATGGCCACCACAAAATGGTACATTGGCTCCCGGCCGGCCTGGGCCAGGGCCAAGGCAGCGGGGGCCGTTCCCTCAATGTTTCCAAGATGGCTTCGCGGGCCACATGAAGCCACTTCGCGGGCCGCATCCGGCCCCCAGGCCTTGTGTTTGACATGTCTGCAGTAGAGGCTCAAAGCCACATTATGTGATGCCCCACGGAAAGACGAGGAAGAGGGAAGCGTATATTCCTCTTATAGTGACTCACCAAAGAGACAGCCTGTGACTTATTGAAAGCAGGGATATGCCGGCACTTTTTGCAGCCTGGAATATTTTTCCTTCCACATCAACGCTGACAGCGCTGGTACATTCATCTAGCAACGCGTATTTCGGCCTTGCAAAGAAGACAAACACGATTATTCTTTTTCTTTCTGCTGTTCCCCTGAATACTGTACAGGTACTCCTCGGCTTACGGCCATTCTTTTAGTGACTGTTTGAGGTTACAACTGCCTCTCATGTGTCTGATTAACGAAACACTTAAAAGAACTCTCAGGCATTTCTTTTCATTAACCTAAAAGCCTTTATTAAGGTTACAGAGATGTCAGAACGGCATGGTGGATTGCTAAGATCTGATTTTCTCTTCCGTTGCACATAACATTCCAGGCATTTTTCCCTCCCCTATTTTGGGGTCATGATTCACATCTTCCAATTAACTTGGAAGATGTGATTCACTTCCAGTTCCTTTTTCCCGGGCTTTCCTTATATTCTCCTCCCCTTTCACTGTTGCCAGATTTAACTATAAAAATACCAGACAGTTCTGCATATTGTCAAAGCAAGAATATACAGTATTTGCAGCGTTGACACTGCCATTCAAAGAGTGACTTATGATTGTTTTTCACGCTTATGACTGTTTCAGCATCACTGTGGCCACGTGATCCAAATTCAGACGCTTGGCAATTAGTTCATAGTTATGACGGTGGCAGCGTCCCAGAGCAGTGTGACCCCCTTTTGCAACTTTCTGACAGGCCAGATCAATGGGGAAGCCAGATTCACTTAACAACGGTGTCAAGAAAGGTCGTAAAACGGGGAAAAACTCACTTAACAACATTTCTCCTGATCCCAGGATGGACAATTTCTCCGCTTCAACGCAACTGGATTGCCAGAAGAAGCGTCGATGGGTGTCCCTGTTTCATTTCCTCTCAAAGGCCAGTAATATTTATATTTGCTGTTTATCGACACCACTGCTCGTTTTTCACTCACACCATTTCCAACCCACACGTTTCTCATTAAAAACGACTATTTTTTCCCTTCTTGCAGATCTCCGGAGGAAGATATGGCTGAAATCTCCTCTTTTCGTCTTACCTCCTTTCAGCTGACTGAGGGCTTTTCACAGAGCCCGGAGGAAGCCTCCTACTGTCCTTGGAAAGTGGCACGGGATAAATTGCATCATGCCAGACACATTGGATAGAATCCATAGCTTCTGGAGGACACCCAGTTGCCGCCCGTGCGTTTTTTATTTCCCTTTTTCAGAATCTCTCTGAACGAAATCCACACCAAGAGGTGACTCAATAGGTCTCGTTCTTTTTGCTTTGCTGGATCCCGTTGTTGTTAATTCTTTGCTTGCATTTATAGTATCAGGTGCTTATAAACCAGGGTTTCTCAACCTTGGCAACTTGAAGATGGCTGGTCTTCAACTCCCAGAATCCTCCGGCCAGCTATGCCAAAAAGTTGCCAAAATTGAGAAAGACTGCTTTAGACAATCAGTGGCGATATACTAACTATTCCATCCTCACTGAAATCAAAAATATTAAGACTTGTTCTATCCCAGCCTACGTGAGTCCTTGTTATGCTCACCAGGAGAAACTCCTCTTTTCCAACAAGCAGGCTGGAACCGCAGGAAAAAAAACAATCTCCTTTTATTATTCACAGACCTGAGTCAATATCCAAGGCAAACAAACACAGTCCACGGAAACTAGATCCTCACACGAACGGCTCCAGCACCTCCCACACCTTCCCTTTTATAATTCAGCCCAGGCGTGGCTTCCTAATGCCTTCTCCTTTGCCTTTGGAGCCACCCCATTGCATTCCTCTGTCCTACTCGCTTCTCTTTCCTGCGCATTTGTGCATCCGGGATTTGTCCCAGCTGTTCTTCATCACTGTCCAACTCAGGCTTCCAGCACAGCTGTGTCTCAGCCTGAGCGCGAGTAGAGGGGCCAGGCTCCTCGTCCGACTGTAAGTCTTGGAGCTCCTCAGAGCCTTCCTCTGACTCTGATGTCACTCCAGGACCTTCCTCCTCCTCCTCTGATTCCTCAGACTCAGCTGCCAGGTCCCCTGGCTGGCGAGGAATCACAGCAAGACTTACCTGTGATAAAACATCCGAGCCATCCCCATTCTTTGCTTCTCTCCTCCAGACAGGACGTCTTTCCAATCGATCACAGCGTTCCAACCTTCGGGAAGACACATAAAAGTCACGAGGGGCTTCCTGTGTATTTGACAAACTCTTTTCATCCTTTGTAAGGCAACCTTCGTCAACTCAAAAGAAGAGTTCCGCGAACCCCATAAAAGTGGCTCAGGCTATGGGGGAGATCTTTGCTGAAACTGGTTTTGTCAGCCTTGGCAATCCCAACTTCCTAACGATGCGCCATATTTTCCCAGGGGGAAAAAAAATTGCATACCTCCCTCTCTCTGAATAATATGATTCAGATGAACTATCTGTAGGATAAATTCTAGGTCCAGGTCTTGGTATCCTTTCTCATGCATGTCATCCACTGAATCGGGGTAGATGACTTGATCCCGTAGCGTTCCCAGGGACATGTAAGGCCTGAAAGAAATAAAAAGAGAATTGGATTTTGCCCTCTCCTTGCCTGGGTGATCGCATCTCAACCCTGCTATTTCAAGGCTGCTGTTCTCCAAGCAGCACATAATGCTTTAAACGCCACGTTTCTAAAGACTGTAATTATCTGAGGATGATTGTTTCCTAAACTTGCTGGAAAAAAACAAAGCATTGTTTACAGAAGAAATGATTAGAGTTTATTAGCGGGGATAAATCTGGCTTAAGAAAAATGCTTTCCATAAAGAAGAATTTACGTATCTAATTCCTTGGAAGGAAAATTCACACAAAACAGAAAATCCGGTATCAAGTTGGAACTATACCTACACAAGATGGGCAGCAAAGAAGCCTGAACACTGAGTAAAAATAAATATGTATTTTTATTGTCTTCTGTACCAAGCCGATATAAATGGGAGAATTTTCGTGGACTATTTGAAAGCGGTTCTTTTTCCAAATTCAGACAGCCTCTTATTTTTTTTTTAATAAACATTCCTAGTTATTCCCAAGTCTGATCATCTGGATACCTTTTTGGCCTGGAATTATGACCTGAATGTAGAGATGGGGATGTGTTTTGGATGTGTTTTGTTGGCTGGTTAGTTGGTTTGCTTTATTAGCAATAAGTTAAACTGGTCGATCAATCTAACTAGACAACAAAAATTCTAAAATGTTGCCTCTCGTTGGCCTAATCAACAGTAATGTTTTACATTCCTGATTCCATTCTGACAATCAGGGGGTATCTATGGGAAAGAAAGGGTGGGCGGAATAAAAAACTTCCAGACACAATTTAAATTTTGCTTCTTGTTTTACTGTGCACATGGGCTTCAACTACATCCTTGCAGTAACACTCTTTGTTAAATCGTTGAAAAACTGTCTCCTTGAAAAATGGAGAAAAATCATCTTCCAGGGAAGAGAATACAGGTAAGTCCTCGGCTTACAACCGCAACCGAGCCCAAGATTTCTGTTGCTAAGCGAGACAGTTGCTGAGTGGATTTCCCCCCCCTCCATTTTACAACCTGGCTTGCCACAGTTGCTAAGTGAGTCACGGCAGTTGTTGAGTCAGTAACAGGGACTCTGACTTCCTCGTTGACTTTGCTTGTCGGAAGGTCACAAAATGTGATCACGTGAGCCCGGGACGCTGCAACTGTCAAAAGTACAAGTCAGTTGCCAAGCCTCTGAATTTTGGTCACATGACCATGGAGATGCTGCAACGGTCGCAAGTGTGGAAAGGGGTCCCGAGTCACTTTTGCAGTGCCGTTGTAACTTTGAAACATCACTAAATGAACTTGTTGTAACTTTGTCTGAAATGGTATAGGGTTTCCTGCCTGAGCAGGGGGTTGGACTAGATGACCTCCAAGGTCCCTTCCAACTTCGTTATTATTATTATTATTATTATTAAGTCGAGGTTTACACGCACCTCCTTGCCAGCAATCAATATCCAGATGAGCAGAGATTAACACCCAGATTAACACTAGACCAATAAACAATACTCCAGTCAAGGAGCTACCAATTCAAACAAACAAGCTAACAATAAACCACAGCCTACTCCACAATAGGCTTGGGAAGGAATCGGACCTGCTTTTGAGCCAACATTGGGAAGGTGACTCAAAGTAAAAAATTAAGTAAAAATGCATTAGCTAAAATATTGGTACATGTTGGTGGGGACAAAAAACAAAGATATTGAGACTCTAGAAAGAGTGCAGAGAAGAGCAACAAAGATGATCAGGGGACTGGAGGCTAAAACATATGAAAAATGGTTGCTGGAATTGGGGATGTCTAGTTTAATGAAGAGAAGGACCAGGGGGGACATGATAGCAGTCTTCCAGTATCTCAGGGGTTGCCCCAAAGAAGAGAGAGTCAAGCTATTCTCCAAAGCGCCTGAAGGCAGGAGAAGAAGCAACGGATGGAAACTAATCAAGGAGAGAAGCAACCTAGAACTAAGGAGAAATTTCCTGACAGTTAGAACAATTAACCAGTGGAACAACCTGCCTCCAGAAGCTGTGAGTGGTCCAACACTGGAAGTTTTTAAGAAGAGACTGGACCAATGTTTGTCTGAAATGGTCTAGGGTTTCCTGCCTGAGCAGGGGGTTGGACTAAAAGACCTCCAAGGTCCCTTCCAACTCTGTGATTCTGTTATTCAAGGAAGAATGGATTAGAATCAATCAATTCTCGATTGGCTGAACCCAGAATGTTCCCACCAACACCGACAGAGCAAGCCACTTGTATATAAAATGACAGCAAACCCTGCTGCCTGCTAGCCCTGATGATGTTACCTAGTTCGGTCATGAAATGTCTGCAAGAAAACAAGCTCAAAGAACACTAAGGACCACACAAACCCATCTACATCTTCTCTGTCACCCATTTAATGAAGAATTTAAAGAAGTCATTTCTGGCCTAACTCTTCACTTGTCTGGGGCATTTTGAAAAAACAAAACAAAACCCTGGAATCATTAAATAGCGAATCTCCTGGGCAATCTAAGCACGTCACATTTATGGCAAAAACCGGCTGGCATAAAAACACCAGAATTCACCGTTAATGTTCTTACAGGGAGGATTAAAGCCTCAATCCTGACCTACATTCTAATAAAAGCAAATACGGGCAGCCAAAAAATGGGAATTATTAATTTATATGTATCAAAGTGATTTATAGCCATTATTCCATAGAGGTGGAACACATCTTTGGTATAATCTACTATCCAAGTTATATTTAAGATCCCACTCTTTCTTCTTTCTTTCTTTCTTTCTTTCTTTCTTTCTTTCTTTTTCTTCTTCTTCTTCTTCTTCTTCTTCTTCTTCTTCTTCTTCTTCTTCTTTTTCTTTTTCTTTTTCTTTTTCTTTTTCTTTTTCTTCTTCTTTTTCTTCTTCTTCTTCTTCTTCTTCTTCTTCTTTTTCTTTTTCTTTTTCTTTTTCTTTTTCTTTTTCTTTTTCTTTTTCTTTTTCTTTTTCTTTTTCTTTTTCTTCTTCTTCTTCTTCTTCTTCTTCTTCTTCTTCTTCTTCTTCTTATTATTATTATTATTATTATTATTATTATTATTATTATTATTATTATTATTATTATGGATCATCGCATAGTCAGCCAGATGTTCAGACTGGATTTGGCATTTTGTCTACCTATCGAGTCCTTACCTAGGACCTGGGATAGGCAGATGTGGATGTTTGATGGTATTACAGATATCGCCACAGGATGAAAGCAGTTCCTAGTAAGGCCGCCTTTTGCAATTGACTAATGGCGAATTTGTCAATGCCAATGGTGTTCAAGTGGTGCTCAAGTTGTTTTGGGATTGCACCCAAGGTGCCTATTACTATTGGTACTACCCTTGCTATTATTATTATTATTATTATTATTATTATTATTATTATTATTATTATTATTGATGTTTATTTAGAATTTTACATGCAGCGAGAGTCAAATCTAAAGAAAAGGGGAAAAATTAAAAAATAAGCAAGCAAAAAAAAGGAGTTGTGAAATACACATCTTCCTGCTTTCTCTACCATCTTATAATCCTCTGTCTCTCTCTTAGAGGTATATACATCCTTTCAAACCCTAGTAGTCCATATATTTTCAATCCTCAGATCCATAAATCATATTGCACGCCCACAAAACCTGCTCAATCCCTACTAATGGTTCTGGATTTTTCACTAATACGCTACTTTCTCCACAAGTATGCCAGGCCAGGTGCTATTTCTTGCACAATTCTTTACGGGAGGGGTAATTGATCTGTGCCTCAAATAACTGTCAGTCAGCCTCTCTGTCTAGCATCCAGCAGGGTCTGTTAAATATTTCAAAGAGCTCAGTTACTACAACTGAGTTTAATTAGCTTACACCCCTTAGCACAGCTCAACCAGCACAGAGCTTAGCGTATTTTTTTTTTCATACATAGCAGGAGGTTATAATTAGAAGTCATCCTGCTGACACAGGAAGGGGAAAAAGTGACCAGCTATTGTTCCATCACAGAAGTGCAAAAAGTGCAAAAGATTTCGGTGTGGGGAGGTACCGTGGCCAGTCCAAGTGGTGTTTAAGGGGGGTGGGGGGGTGGAGAGGTCTAGCTAGGCCATGGGTAGGCAAACATGGCTCTTTTATGACTCGTGGACTTCAACTCCCAGAATTCCTGAGCCAGCCACGCTGAGGGGAAAGGGAGAGGTTTCCAAGCTGAGCCATGCTGGCTGAGGAATTCTGGGAGTTGAAGTCCACGAGTCTTAAAGTTGCCAAGGTTGCCTACCCCTGAGCTAGGCCCTCTGATGTGGGGTACCTCAGGCCTTAAGGTCCTCTCCCCTCCTCTTGAATGTTGAAGAGATTTCATGGGTGAGGTCATTCAACTTCCATCCATCCATCCATCCATCCATTCCATTTCTATAGCCACCCATCTCAATCAAGGACTCTTGCCATCCCCAAAGTCAGTACGTNGGGTGGGGAACCTTGGCTCTTTTATGACTCGTGGACTTCAACTCCCAGAATTTCTGAGAAAGCCACGCTGAGGGGAAAGCGAGAGGTTTCCAAGCTGAGCCATGCTGGCTCAGGAATTCTGGGAGTTGAAGTCCACGAGTCATAAAAGAGCCAAGGTTGCCTACCCCTGAGCTAGGCCCTCTGATGTGGGGTACCTCAGATCTTAAGGTCCTTTCCCCTCCTCTTGAATGTTGAAGAGATATCATGGGTGAGGTCATTCAACTTCCATCCATCCATCCATTCCATTTCTATAGCCAGCCATCTCAATCAAGGACTCTTGCCATCCCCAAAGTCAGTACGTTGAGGATATGCAGTTATTCACAAAATCATAGGAAGGGATCCCACAGGTCATCAAATCCAACCCCCTCTCCCCCCACCCCCCACACTGCACACTGTAGGATTCCTTACACCGTGGAAAATGCAGAGACTTTTCAACCAATCTAAGAATCCATGGTGATCTTCATAAACTTTCCGTGTAGGACATATTCTTCCCTTTGGGATGTTATTTTGGGGGGCTACTCTGAGCAAGACATAGAAGATATATTCATTGGGTTGGTCTTGCAGGTCTTCTAGTCTAGTCCAACCCCCTGCTGAAGCAGGAGACCCTACACCATTCTGGACAAATGACTGTCCAATCTTTTCTTGAAAACCTCCAGTGATGGAGTACCTACAACTTCTGAAGCCACGCCGCTGATTAATTGTTCTCGCGATCAGGAGATTTCCCTTAATTCTAGGTTGGATCTTTCTTGGGTGATACTCCACCCGTTACTTCTTGTCCTATCCTCAAATACTTTGGAAAATAGGTCAACCCTCTTTTCTCTTCCCCTTAAGTACTGGAAGACTGCTATCCTATCACTCCTAGTCCTCCTCTTTGGTAGACTAGACATACCCATACCCATCCCTCAACTGTTCATCATACGGTTGAGCGCCCGTAGACCCCCTTATTATGAACCGATTTGGTAAGAAACGAAAATTCCAAACCTTTGTGGAATGTAGAACATATGCTGGGGAGGTGGTTTGTAAAGAACCCCTTCGTAGACGGGCCACAAGCCACTTAGAATCCTGAAAAGCGAGCTCTTCCCACAACCATTGGGACCGGCAATTAGGAGATGCATGCCTTCCTCAACCTGCAAAGTGGAGTGAGAGACGCAATCACTTTGGGAAGAGTACTTGTTTTCACCTGGCTTTTTATAGCAAGAGCACTTAGATTTATATACCGTTCCATTAGGGCTTTACAGACCGCTCTTTGGGCGGTTTACAGTGCCCCCAACAATCTGGGTCCTCATTTTACCAATCTTGGAAGGATGGAAGGCTAAGTCAACGTAGAGCCGGTCAGGATCGAACTCCTGGCAGTGGGCAGAGTCCGCCTGCAATACCGCATTCTAACCACTGCGCCACCGCGGCAGAGATAACAATAGCACTGATATACCGCTTCACAGTGCTTTACAGCCCTCTCTAAGCGGTTTACAGTGTCAGCGTGTTGCCCCCAACAATCTGGTTCCTCATTTTATCGACCTCGGAAGGCTAGAAGGCCGAGTCAACCTTGAGCTGGTCAGGATCGAACTCCTGGCAATAGGCAGAGTCTGCCTGCAATACTGCATTCTAACCACTGCACCACCACGGCAGAGATAACAATAGCACTGATATACCGCTTCACCGTGCTTTACAGCCCACTCTAAGGGATTTACAGAGTCAGCATCTTGCCCCCAACAATCTGGGTCCTCATTTTACCGACCTCGGAAGGCGGGAAGGCTGAGTCAACCTTGAGCCAATCAGAATCGAAGTCCTGGCTGTAGCAATGCAGAGTTAGCCCTCAATACTGCATCCTAACCACTGCACAACCAGGACTCCTTTTTTATCAAGATGACTGACACCATCCATACGTTCTCCCTGCACCCTCGAACATGCTGGTTCAATGACTTTAAGATTCACCCTAAGCTTTGGTTAGCTTTGTGTTTCTCTTCCCAGTCTGGATCCTTAGCTCGCATAAGAAATTCAAGCACAACTGAAGTGTACTGAAGCAACAAATTATTTCGAAAAATATCTTTCACAAGATATGTTATCTGCATCTCTAATGGTACCCAATTCTACTTAGACGTGGATATCAACTGATATATAAATATCGACCTAAAATGGCTATTATTGCCCATTGAAACAATAAACTGAAAGGCAGTACTGTGCATTACAATTGGCATCTTATTATTGCTTCCTATTTTAGTAATCGTCAAGCCAATTTATTTTTAAAAACAGGACCATCGGTCTCCCTGTGAAGGCAGGGAAAAATACATCCCAACATATTCACAGGCTATGATTGATGACAAATCTCAGTTCTGGATACTTCTTAATTAGATTGTAGCGGCAGTTCCTAGCTTCAACAGCACAGTTTTAAAAAAATGAATTCAGAATTGTTATATTCCACAATGTAGGTAGTCCTTGATTTACAACTGTAACGGAGCACAGAATTTCCAATGTAAGCCATGGCGGTCGTAAGTCGAGACACCCATCTGACGAGAGCCGATTTTACAACTTAAGGAAACGGGGTTGACGTTAAGCAGGTCTATGTATTGCTACAGGCATTATTTTAATATTATATATCCTTCGGGACACTGAGGGAGATAAGATGTGGGCCCGGGTCCCAGCTTGCATCTGGTGATTGAGAGCTGAATGACGGAGAGAGCTCAATTTATACAATAAGACCCATAGACACAAATGGGAGTTTTCGTAACGACTGACTGCAAACACGTTCAGTCACTGTAGTTATTTCTCGTGTTCTTGCAGAGCATGGAGATACAATAGTGGCCAAAATTGTGGAAACCTTTTGGGAAAAGTGTACAGTAGAAATACCACCTTTGGTTAAGTTTCCACCCATTTTTCTTCTAATTTCTTTATAACTGTAGCCTTGTTCACTGAATAATACTATTTTACATCGCTTTTTGGGTGACCAGTCAACTCTTTGCACCATGACTTTAATTTTATTACGTTTTACAAGCTCATTACAGGAAAGAACGCAAAAAAAACCCCAACCAACTCCATAGCGATCGCATAACACACTGACAAATGTCCTCCTCTCAGCTTCAATACATGAGATCAATAACTGAATCCTACTGTGATCCGATTGGCTCATTGCCAAAAGAAGATGACACCCGATTGGCTCTCCAAACACTCATGCTCATTGGCTACAATCAGATGAAGGAAAGCTACCGGAGATCAACCGAAGCCGTGATGGATATTGCTTCCTTTTTCTGGTTATTTGGCTATAACCTTTCACAGAATACAGTACAGATAATTGAACAAACTTTGTTGCATTACATTCTTGATTAAATTATCTTTCCATTGATATATAATTTTATAGTACTACTCCAACAAAAAGTGGTGTTATTAGCCATCCAACCTCAAAAATACACTTTTCCCAAAAGGTTTCCACAATTTTGGCCACTACTGTATATAGGTCCTGGAAGACCTATACAGGCGACCCTAGACTTACAACCATTCGTTTAGCGACCGTTCAACGTTACAACGGCACCGAAAAAAATGGGACTTAGGACCAATTTTCAGACCGTTGCAGCGTCCCCACGGTCAGGTGATCAAAATTCGGATGCTTGGCAACTGGCATGTACTTAAGACGGTTGCAGTGTCCCGGGGTCACGTGATCATCTTTTGTAACCTTCCCGGCTGGCAAAGTCCGACAAGCAAAGTCAAATGGGGGGAGCCAGATTCACTTAACAACCCCACGGTTCACTTCACAACTGAAGCGATTCCATCAAAGGTTGTAAATTTGGGTCAAAGCTTGTTTAACCACCGCCTCGCTTAGCGACGGAAATGTTGGGCTCAGTTGAGGTCGAGGACTACCTGTCATGGGATAAACTCAACATTTCTGCCTCTGGTCGTCGAGCTGCTATGCCTACCTTGCTTGATCTCCCCTTTTTCCATATGCTTGTCCAAGTATTTAACATAAGGTACATGGACTCTGTGCCCGTTTTGTGCTAACTGGGATGACAACAATCAGAAGATTCCTGCATAGCCTCTTACTTTGAAGTTTAGCTTGGAAACCACCACATCTCCATTTGGGGTAATTATAGGGACATTTTCACAGATAATCCCATGATCAATATCTATTACTTTTCCTATAAGTAAAAAAAAAAGAAAAAGAAAGACAAAAAGCACAAAGTATGTTAATAGAGCAAGCAGAAGACACACAAGCGCAGACAGAAAGTTATTGTTTCGGGAAAGGCTGTTTTGCAGACAGGCCTTCGTCGTTACCGGGTGAGTTTCACACAAGAAGGCCTTCCTAAAATTCTAGATGGGATTAAGGAAGAGACTGGACTTTTGTTTCTCAAGTCTTCAGTTGTGTTAAGAACTTGCACCAATGTCCATCATGGAGGAAGCTTAATCACTACTAATTTGTTATATGGTGTTAACGTTTATTTAACGCTTTAGGAAACGGTTCTAGGTAAGTCTACACAATACTCCCCGTTTGATTTGAAGAATTTGCTTCAGGTTAGACACAAGTCCAAACACAGCCCCTTCTACAACTTCTTCAAGCAGCCAAATCTTTTCCTAGCATCATGCAGGACTTCAAAAGCCAGTGGTATAAAGCTGGGGAAAGACAAGCTTCTTTAGTGTATGTGTATAGATATGTATAGATATGTATAGATAGATAGATAGATAGATAGATAGATAGATAGGTAGGTAGGTAGGTAGGTAGGTAGGTAGGTAGGTAGGCAGGCAGGCAGGCAGGCAGGCAGGCAGGCAGGCAGGCAGGCAGGCAGGCAGGCAGGCAGGCAGGCAGGCAGGCAGGCAGGCAGGCAGGCAGGCAGACAGACAGACAGACAGACAGACAGATAGACAAGAGATGATAATAGGCATAGATAGGCAGACAGATAAATGATAAAGGGAGAGAGAGAGAGAGAGAGAGAGAGAGAGAGAGATATGTAGAAATAGATATATAGATATATAGATATACAGATTAGACAGATATAGATAGATAGATAGATAGATAGATAGATAGATAGATAGAGATAGATAGATAGATAGATAGATAGATAGATATAGATATGGCTAGAAATAGAGCTAAAAATCCGACTCTTGGGTAAGTCCATGTTCTGTCAAAATAATTACGATCACCAAGAGGGGATAAAATATTTATAAGCAGTTAAAAAGTTTTAAAAAACAATTTAAAAGCAGTAAAACATTATTAAAAATTATGGGCAACCAAGCTTTCGTCGGGCCCTCCCGACATCTTCAGGGTTGCTAAGACGGTTTTTGAGAGAGTTTATATAGCATTTTCAAGTGCCTGCATCCGGCTACGCGATCGCGCGACTGGGCCCCGGTATATGCGCTCCTGCGCGGTGCCTGTCTTCTTTTTATCCACGTGTAAACGTTTTGCCTTCCTTCCCTGCTTACCATTATGAGGCTCCTGGCTGTCCTCGTCAGGGATCATTTGGGGTTCTTTCTTACATCCCTCATCCACTTCAACCCCTTCATCCTTCCCCTCCAAGCCATCCGTCCCTTCCCTCTCCTTCATACCACCATCAATCCCTCTTCTACCTCCCTGGTCCTTCCCCATCGAGTCTAGATTGATCCCTTCTTCTCTGCCTCCGGTTGTAACGCTTCGTGTGTTTCCTGCCTCCTCTCCTTGCAACTCATTCCACACTCCCTCTCCATTCCCACCACATACATTCCCCCCATCCCTATTCATCCTCAAATTTCCTTTATCCAACCCACCCTCGCTACCATCGTCTCCTCCCCCATGGATCCTCCCATACTCCACTGCTTCTGCTCCTTCATTCATGTCTCCATGGGGTCTTTCATCCGTCCATCCACCCCATTCCTTTCTTGGGACTATCACTTCCCAACCTCTCTGATTCACGGGGGCACAAGCATTCCCCGGTCTTTCATTATACTTTTCGTTCCGTTCTCCTGCAACCCCAATATATTTCGACCCACCTTCTGCCGTTTCTCTCGTGCCCTTATTCACGCTGTACGGGGATCCTTCGCCCCCTTTATACTCTCTATGGGAGTTCCTCATCCTATGACTTTTGGCGGATTCTCGGGCAGTTTTTTCTTTGCCGAGCCTCCCCATTGAGTTCAACATAATTCCTTCCTCTCCCCCTCCAATCGCACCACTGCGTGCGTCCCCTATTTCTTCCCCTGATACCTTCATCCACGCTCCCCCCATCCTCACAACTAACACTCACCCCACTCTTACTTGCATTGCAACTCCCTCCATACCACTCCTCCTGTCGCCACCACTCCCCACCCACCACCCCTTCCATTTGCTCCCACTCTCTGTCGCTCGCCGGGGTCTTGGCATCCTTCAAGCTGTCATTCCTCCATCCGCTCCGTTCTATTGCCTCCCCACTGCTTTCATCTCCGAAGGTCCATGTACCTCTCGACTTTCCATCATGCCATTCACTGCATTCCCCTGTATACCCAACTCTCCCCACCCCACCTTCCACTACCCCCCTCTCGCCCTCATCCGTACCGTCTAAAAGTCCTTCATCCCCCTTACGCATTCCACTGGGGCCTCTGCCCATCCTGCAACTGGCTCTGTTGTTATGGGATTGCCTGATTCCACTTACTATATCTAGATATAGATATATAGATATACTGTAGATATATAGATATTGTAGATATATACATACAGTATAGATATATAGATATAGATAGATATAAATATATAGATATGTTTTTTCAAAATTTGGAATGCTAACAAAGAATTAAGGGAGTACTGAGATAGCTATTTCTAACCTTGTTTGGTTTTCATCAGTCAGACATACCCTTCCGAGATTCGAACCTGGGCTGTCTGCATGTTAAGCAGAAGCATTAGTCCTCTATGCCACAGGCTCTTTCTCACTTTGTTAGCTACAAGAGACAGGGGAAGAGATATAGATATATAGATATAGGTAGATATAGATATATAGATATAGATAGATATAGATATATAGATATAGATGATATAGATATAGATATATATAGATATAGATATAGATATAGAATGATTTCCAAGCCCAACTAGGGCAGTGTATCCAATCTTGGCAACTTTTAAGACATGTGGATTTCAACTCCCAGAATTCCCCAGCCAGCCATGCATAGCTCACCACCCGTGCACATGGGGCCCAACTCCTTGCTAAACAACTGCCTCCTTGCTTAGGGACAGAAATGTTGGGTTCTGCATGCGATATATAACAAGGCATGTAAAAAGGGGGTTGAATCTGCATCACAAGGGCACAGTGGTTTTATTTTTATTTTTATTTTGTCATTTCATTCTGCCTCCTCTTCCCTCCTCCTTCCTGTCCTGAAAATACCTCTGCACTAAGCCTATTGATGATCCTGCAAATTGCTCTTTGCCATCGATCGTTATGCTTTTAAGCGGTCAGCGTGCATTAAAATGGAGGGCAGCTGTACTTCAATGTAGCCACTGGATAAGGGAAAGTCCGCACGGACGTTTATTTGAATCATCCAAACAGCCTTTTGACTTTTCATTTGAAAGAGTTTCTTGACTTCATTTTCATCTTCCATCAAAGGTCAAGGATTGTATTAGAGCAGGGGTCTTCAAACTTGGCCCTTCCATGATTCGTGGACTTCAACTCCCAGAATTCCTGAGCCAGCATGGCTCAGCTTGGAAACCTCTCCCTTTTCCCTCAGCGTGGCTGGCTCAGGAATTCTGGGAGTTGAAGTCCACGAATCATAAAAGGGCCAAGTTTGAAGACCCCTCCCAGAATTCCTCAGGCAGGCATGCTTGCTGAGGAATTCTGGGAGTTGAAGTCCGCAAGTCATAAAAGGGCCAAGTTTGAAGACCTCCCCCAGAATTCCTCAGCCAGGCACGCTGGCTGAGGAATTCTGGGAGTTGAAGTCCACGAGTCATAAAAGGGCCAAGTTTGAAGACCCCCTGTATTAGAGGCAGCTAGAGAGCATTCAAGCACAGAGGGGCTATTTTTAAAATGTTCACAGCCTTAGCTGAAGTAAAAAGTTATACCAATAAAATAGTATGCTTTTTAAAATATTAACAGAATAACAGAGTTGGAAAGGGACCTTGGAGGTCTTCTAGTCCAACCCCTTGCACAAGCAGGAAACCCTATAACATTTTAGACAAACAGTGGTCCAGTCTCTTCTTAAAAATCTCCAGTGTCGGAGCACCCACAACTTCTGGAGGCCAGTCGTTCCACTGGTTAATTATTCTCCCTGCCAGGAAATTTCTCCTTAGTTCTCAGTTTCTTCTCTCCTTGATTAGCTTTCACCCATTGCTTCTTGTCCTGCCTTCAGGTGCTTTGGAAAATAGGATGCCCCCACTTGTTTGTGGCAGCCCCTCAAATATTGGGCGATGCTATCATGTTACCCCTTGTCGTTTTCATTAAACTAGACCAGGGGTAGGCAACCTCGGCTCTTTTATGACTCATGGACTTCAACTCCCAGAATTCCTGAGCCAGCCACGCTGAGGAAAAGGGAGAGGTTTCCAAGCTGAGCCATGCTGACTCAGGAATTCTGGGAGTTGAAGTCCACGAGTCATAAAAGAGCCGAGGTTGCCTACCCCTGAACTAGACACACCCAATTCCTGCAACCGTTCTTCATATGTTTTAACCTTTCATTTATTCATGCATTTATTCATTCGTTACTTCACTCATTTATTCTAATGGTATTGTTCGACGTTGTACAAAATCAGCAGTTGCTCTCTCTCTCACACACACACATGCTGAAATGAGTCACAGTATCTGTGTTCAAAGCTTTAATGCAGCATTAAAGTCCATTCAGTGGCTCTTTACTCATTATGGCTCCTTATTATGTAAAACCATGCCCACTGAATGTGCAATTAGGTATTAAAAGGATCATGCTAAGAATATTACATTGCATGTCACGTTCATGAATTGTCACGTAATATCCATAATGTCAGCAAATGATGCCAACCAATGAAAGGACATTGTATATAATTGTATATTCTTTACCCTTTTAAGGGGTCCTCACTTGTATCTGTGTGGGCCTCTCCTTGTTAATGTATAAATAAAGAGATACTATTCTACCTTTTTGGCTCAGATTCTATTTTGGGCTAAAGAACTTTGCCTGTTTTAATTTTGCCAATTTTACTGGCTAGAAGTGATTAACTCTTTTCTGTTGGATCCACTGCCAGTGACAGAGAACTTATAGATTATCCCTTAATAAATGCCTGGTTATAAAAGCAGCACAAAGTTAGTGAGATCAACATATACTTAAGAACAGATATAAACCGTCTCACCGTTTCCATGTTAAATTGTACCCAGATGTGAAATATTAAAAAAAAATAATCAAGAAACAGAAATGTATCGATTACCTTTGATTTCTAAAGGGCCATTAATGCATTGTTTGGCTTTATTCCTTTTGTTGTTGCTGTTTTCCCGTTCTGGAGTAAGGTTTGATATTTTGTAAATGCCCCTTTTTACTTCATCGAAAACTGAAAACATATTGTAAACACGGGCAGTGTAGCCGGCTAATTCTGCAATCTGCAAAACAACAAACAATCACAAGTTAAAGCCATAATGATAAGTTATATGGATTAACTACCAAAATAAATGCTTTGTTTATTATTGCAAAGGCTTGAATTTGCATTTTGTAATCTGGCTTTTGATGAAGAACAGAATCTCTGAATTCATCATCAGATATTTTTCTCTTCACAACGGAAGATCCACAAAACTCAAGTTTTAAACTAAAGTAAGGTATGAAATTTCCGTTAGTTTGACGGCTGAATCAGTAAGCCTTTTTAAAATCCTGACAGGTTCTGGGGCAGAATATTAATTTGAAATTATACACACACTTTCTTCTGCTGCAGTTAAACTCTGACTTTTACTAAGAAATGTGGAGTTTAATTGGCTATAGGGGAAAGCAAGAAACGTATAGGAAATGTAGAACATTTTGGATCTAATTATATCCTAAGAACTCCCCCCCCGTCTATCAGAACTGATTGCTTGTCTCAAATGGTAACAAATTCTGCTTGCAAACAAATAATCTTCAGCATTTCAATCATATGATTCCTTGAAATGGCAGCAACAAATGAATTCCTGAGCCAGAGGACCTGATGAAATTAATGAATAGAATAGAACAGAATAGAATAGAATAGAATAGAATAGAAAATATGGAATGGAATGGAGTGGAGTGGAGTGGAGTGGAGGAGTAGAGTAGAGTAGAGTAGAGTAGAGTAGAGTAGAGTAGAGTAGAGTAGAGTAGAGTAGAGTAGAATAAGTGGAGTGGAGTAGAGTAGAGTAGAGTAGAGTAGAGTAGAGTAGAGTAGAGTAGAGTAGAGTAGAGTAGAGTAGAATAGAATAGGACCTGCCTAAGAGGCTTAGCATGACATATCAAGGACCACATTCCTAAAGCAGGCAGGGTCAGAGCGCGCACACACACACACACACACACACAGAGAGAGAGAGAGAGAGAGAGAGAGAGAGAGAGAGAAAGAGCCAATGGTAAAAATGTAAATTTTCACGCTGCTAAAGAAAATTAAGAAAAGATGGTTTAATTGAGCGATCATTATATTCTCCTAATATGTCACTGGGTGTGCCACAGTTTCCCCAAAAGTTTGAGAAACGCCGCCAGGCCTCTTATTATTTTGCCTATACTGCACCCTATGTACCGCGTAACTGGAAAACACGGACATTTTTCCATCCGAACAATCCGGCTGGCCCGTCTTCCCTTCATGCTGATTCCGTGGCACCCCAATTCAATTGAACGAAGCGCACCGTAAGGGATTAGTGAACCTTGTTGTCTGGCTTGAGTGCCCAGCCCTGGGTTTCTGCGGAAAACAGCACCATTTCTGAGAAAGGAGAAGGTTCCGGTAGATCATCCCAAATGAAGAGTAAGCATTCTCCTTTTGCGAGCTGACCTCAGAGGTTTACAAGAGATCACCCTTTCTGTTATCAAGGCTAAGCGAATGGAATACCTCTTTGTAGGAAGACATGATCCGTTCAATGGCGTCTGCTCCAGAAACTAACAGATTTCGTGAGGTAGTAAAGGTTTCCGTTCGTTCGCTCACCATGCCTTGTTTCTGGCCATTGTCCAAATCTATCGACGAGAAAAACAATCAACAGAAGCAATGTTTTCAACATTTTATTGGAAATATTCTTCTAATACGATTAGAAGAAGAAAAAATGACTGGGAGTAGACTCTAGCTCAGCGGTTCTCAACCTATGGGTCGCGACCCCATTTGGGGTCGATCGACCATTTCACGGGGGTCGCCAAGCAAGGCTGTCCGCCATTTTTCCCCCTTTTTCGGCAGGTGCCTTACCTCCCTTGAGCTGGGCCAGCTGATGGTCGGCCTGCTCCGTCTCTGCCGCTTGCCAGCTACGCCTCGGCCGGCGCAGGGGGCGGAACCACGCATGCACGGCGCTCCCGGGCAGGGAAAGTCCTCGACTTACAACCGGTTGGGTAGTCCTTGACTTACGACTGGTTTAGTCCTCGACTTATGACCGGTTTAGTCCTCGACTTACGACCGGTTTAGTCCTCAACTTACGACCAGTTGGGGGTCGCGGCATTAAAAAGGTTGAGAACCACTGCTCTAGCTCTTCGGGATTTCTTTTATAGTTACAAGAAATTCCTAGTATTTTGAGTACACAAAATATTGATATGAATAAGAAGATAAGCCTAGCATTAGGTTGATTAAACAGGTTGATTAAGCTTAAATTTTATACAGAGATCTGCACCTACAGTTAAGGTTAGACTCCGGTGAAGTCTGGTTGAAAAATGGCTATCGTGGTTAGATTCAAGGTGGCTTTTCGTGTTTAGGGGGCTTCTGACCGTTAGGTGGGGTCTCCATTTTTTTATTTTGGGGAAAGGTCACGGCAAAATCCTTCATAAGAGTTGTCTGGAGTTGGATTTTGGCTTCCTTGTGTGTTGACAGCAGGGGAATCTTTGGGTCATTTCTCCATGAGGTCTAGGTGCAAATAGAAGGTCTTCAAATGCATGCTTAAGGCAAATGCATGGATGTACTACCTGGTTGCATCTGGGTTTGTGGCATTCAAGGAATAGGGGCTAAGCTAGGGCTAGTGTTAAAGGCCGCTTATGTAGCAGTAGCACTAAGATTTATCTACCGCTTCACAGTGCTTTACAGAACTCTCTGACCGGTTTACAGAGTCAGCTTATTGTTCCCAACAATCTGGGTCCTCATTTTACCGACCTCGGAAGGATGGAAGGTTGAGTCAACCTTGAGTTCCCATCAGGATCGAACTCCAGGCAGTGGGCAGAATTTGCCTGCAATCCTGCATTTTAACCACTGCGCCACCGGGCTCTATGGTTATTATCTATGTATTGAATTAGTTTCCCGTCTCTTTTTTTCAGAATGGATTATCCAGGGGTAAGCAATCTCGGCTCTTTTATGACTCATGGACTTCAACTCCCAGAATTCCTGAGTCAGTCACGCTGAGGAGAAAGGGAGAGGTGTCCAAGCTGAGCCATGCTGGCTCAGGAATTCTGGGAGTTGAAGTCCACGAGTCACAAAGCGGCCTAGGCCTAGGCCAGAGGTAGGCAATCTCGGCTCTTTTATGACTCATGGACTTCAACTCCCAGAATTCTTGAGCCAGCCACGCTGAGGGGAAAGGGAGAGGTTTCCAAGCTGAGCCATGCTGGCTCAGGAATTCTGGGAGTTGAAGTCCATGAGTCATAAAAGAGCCAAGGTTGCCTACCCCTGGATTATATCATCGATCCAGTTTAGTGAAAAACAGCTATGCACAATCAGATGTGATATAACATAACATACATAACATAACATAACATAACATAACATAACATAACATAACATAACATAACATAACATAACATTCTAATCCAAACAAAAAACAAATTTTGGGATTTTTTAAAAAAAGAAATATTAGGTTAAAAATGGCATAGCACATCTAATGTCAGTGTGATTTGCCATTTTTGTGATTTCTTTTTTGACTTCCTGGTCTTGTTCACATACAACAAGGAAGTTAGATGAGGGACACAGATTATTCTGCCAAATTAAAATAAACAATGGAGAGCCATCACTCTTACCAATGTATCAGGTAATAATAATCACTGGTTTAAGACTCATTTACACAGTAGTAGTATTACATTTATTGGCATAGTAACTACGGGTAGTCCTCGATTTACAACCGTTTGCTTATAGTGACCATTCAAAGTTACAACAGCACTGAAAAAAAAAAGTCACTTATGACCCTTTTTCAGTTACGACCGTTGCAGCGTCCCCCCCCCCGTGGTCACGTGATCAAAATTCAGACGCTTGGCAACTGACTCGTATTTATGACGGTTGAGGTGTCCCTGGGGGTCACGTGATCCTTCCCCTGACAGGAAAAGTCAATGGAGAAGCCGGATTCACTTAACAACCAGGTTACGAACTTATCAGCTGCAGCGATTCATTTAACAACGGAGGCAAGAAAGGTTGTAAAATGAGGCAAAACCCGCTGAACACATGTCTCCCTTAGGAACAGAAATGCAGGGCTCAAATGTGGTTGTGTCATGCCTCCGCGGGAGCCTGAATCTGCGGAGGAAAATGAGCTGGAACGGGACCCCCTGGAGGCGGAGGGAAAGGGGTCTGTGGCTTCAGAGGCATGTGGGGAAGAGCAGGCCGAGGCAGGCCAGGGCCCTTCAGGATTGGGACAGGAGGAACAGGAGGGGCAGAGCTCAGGCGATGAGCAAGGGCCACCCCCACCTGATCCTAGAGTACGGAGAGTGGAGAGAAGGAGTGAACAATGCAGTCAGGTTCAACTACTCCGGAGAAGAGCGTCCCGCCCCTCTCCACAAGGCACACCTGGAGACCCAGACTTAAGGAGATGCTGTGGGGAGAGGCATTTGTCGGGAACAAACACTGATTCCTTGCAGTTTTGTGTGCTGTTGCTGATCTTGTGGTTTCTGCTTGGAAACCCTGAAACTCTGACCATTAGACTGGCTGACAAAACTTGATTGGGAGTTCAAAGACCTGGGATTGTATTTTGGCTTCTCTTCTGAAACTGCTCAGGCAAGCTTGCGTTTCCACAGATTTTGGATGTAGGTTTCATTCCTTGCTCTCTACGTGGCCTTGAGTAAATTACTCTTCTAATCTAACTATATGTGAAACTACTTGCAGCCAGAGGTGGCTGAAGCTGTGTGCGTTTTACTTTGTTCTGGGGCTTGCCAGAAATGTGGGAGCATTTGGGGAAAATTTGGAGCAATGAAAGGGCGGTTTGAAATGCCAGCTGACTGCACTGCCTCTGCGCCGTGCCCTGGGTCATCACACTACCACACAGAAGATGTCTCTCTTCTGTGCCTTTTCTTCCCATGCCCGTTTCACCCAAATCCAGACGAAAGCTATCTTACCACCATCAGCAAATCCTTTTGCGGTGATAATAGGAACGGCCACCATAATCAGTCCACTGCTACTCCAGACGTATTTCATCAGGAACTGCTCAAGCATGATGTACCACAAGCGCTTGGACAAAATGATGTTCATCTGCTCTTCCAGAGCTTGGTAACTTTTCTGAAGTTGGCACATTTCAACCTGTGAATTTTTTTTTATTATTATTTTTTTAAAAATGTGATTGCTACAAGAATGTGATCTGTAAGGATATCCCATAAAAATGGACCAGACACCCCTACAGGTAGTCCTCAGCTTACAACAGTTCATTTAGGGACCGTTCAAAGTTACAACGGCATTGAAAAAAGGGACTTAGGACCGTTTTTCACACTTAGGACCGTTGCAGTGGTCACGGGATCAAAATTCAGGCGCTTGGGAACTGACTCAGATGTATGACGGTTGCAGTGTCCCGGGATCACATGATCCCCTTTTCCAATCTTCCGACAAGCAAAGTCAATGGGGAAGCCAGATCCACTTCACAGCTGTGTCACTAAGGCAGTGATTCACTTCACAGCTGTGGCAAAAAGGGTCGTAAAATGCGGCAAAATTCATTTAGCAACCGTCTCGCTTAACAACAAAAAATTCGGGCTCAATTGAGGTCGTAGGTCGAGGACTACCTGATGTTATCCTGAAGTAAAAAGATACAGAATTGCAACAAGCTTGATCCAATTGGATGGGAGAATACTTAAAGGGCCTCTGTGTGAACTAAATGTCCACATTGCAAGATTAATGTGCAAATTACAGAGAAATGTGGAGGAAGAATAATCACAGGTTCCCACAGAAGGATAGCAGATTACTGTACATTCTTCAAAGTCCACAGACCTGCTTTATAGCCACCACTGCTGACAGAACAGAAATTCACCCTGTGAGTAAATTTAATTTCCGCCAAGGAAAAAATACTGTAATACAAATTGGGGAGTTACCTAAGGAATTCTAACCTACAGCTGCCTTCTCTTGCCCCCTTCCAGAGAGCTCTGCTAGGAATAAAAAAATAATAATAATCTTGCTAATCAAGCACAGAGAAAAGACCCAATTTGGCAGTGTTTCTCAAACTAACTTGGCAACGTTTCAGATGTGTGGACTTCAACTCCCAGAATCCCTGAGCCAGCGTGCCTGGCTGGGGAATACTGGGAGTTGAAGTCCACACATCTGAAAAGTTGCCAGATTTGATAGCATTGCTTTAGATCAGGGGTCTTCAGACTTGGCCCTTTGATGACTTGTGGACTTCAACTCCCAGAATTCCTCAGCCAGGCACGCTAGCTGAGGAATTCTGGGAGTTGAAGTCCACAAGTTATCAAAGGGCCAAGTTTGAAGACCTCTGCTTTAGATCTTGGCTACCCCATTAATTCAGTGGGGTTTTGATTTTTTTGCCCTGAGCAGATGTTCCTGGGAAAGATTTAGCAAGAATTACAGCAGCAGCCACAAAACCACCTTAGATCCCTCTCTTTCTCTCCATCCATC